TGTCTCTTTAAAGAAAAAAAAAGTGGCTCTGAAGACACCTCTTTAAGAGGCAAATGATTCATCAACTTGAATTCTCCTTGAAGCTGTCAGTGAAGGATCACTGTTAAAATACACTGTTGTTGGGTGGCACCTTTGGCTTAGTGAGTAGGGCTCTGGCCGCATATACCAAGGGTGACAGGTTCAAACACGGCCCTGGCCAAACTGCAACAAAAAAATAGCCGGGCGTTGTGGTGGGCACCTGTAGTCCCAGCTACTTGGGAGGCTGAGGCAAGAGAATCACCTAAGCCCAAGAGTTGGAGGTTACTGTGAGCTGTGTGATGCCACAGCACTCTACTGAGAGTGATAAAATGAGACTCTGGCTCCACACACACACACACACAAAAATACACTGTTGTTAAACAGTCTTTGCTAAAAGGTCTCATCTAAAGAGAGCAAACGTTTTTTTTTTTATTAAATCATCCCTGTGTGGCTCAGCACCTATAGCTCAAACAGCTAAGGCACCAGCCACATACACCACAGCTAGTGAGTTCAAATCCAGCCCGGGCCTGCCAAACAACAATGACAACTGCAACTAAAAAATAGCCAGGCATTGTGGCCAGCACCTGTAGTCCCAGCTACTTGGGAAGCTGAGGCAAGAGAATTGCTTAAGCCCAGGAGTTGGAGGTTGCTGTGAGCTGTGATGTTACTCTACCCAGGGCAACAGCTTGAGGTTCTGTCTCAAAATAAAAATCATAGCTGTGTACATTAAGGAGGGCAAAAGTTTTGATGTTGATAGGGCTTTTCTTGAACATAGTCATTTACTTTTTGGCCTTGGATCCTTGACAATATGGATAAATAGTGGTTGTTTTCCTACATTTTTAAACCTTTTCAAACATAACTGGACTTTAAGTAAATGCAATGGTACATTTGAAGTGGAAACAGTCTTTCTAAAATATAAGGAGGAAATCTTTGACAACATCAGTGTTTTCAAAAACACACCATAGGAAATTGTAATCAACTATTCATTTATTTTTGAATTTTTATGTATGTATTTATTTATTTATTTTGAGACAGAGTTTTTGTTGCCCCAGGATAAAGTGCCATGGTGTCAGCCTAGTTTACAGTAACTTCAAACTCGTGGGTTCAAGAGATCCTCCTGCCTCAGCCTCCTGAGTAGCTAGGACTACAGATGCCAACCACAGTGCCTGGCTAATTTTTCTTCTTTTAGTTGAGACAGGGTCTCCTCACACTTGTTCAGGCCGGTTTTGAACTCCTGGTGTTAAATTCCATTATTATGGAACTATATCATATCACTAAATAGTGCCTTTAATTCATTGGGGAAGAGCTTTGTCAAATACATACCTCACATATACCAGTGGAGAATCCTCACCAGTGGGAAGGAACCTGGTGCCATATCTCCTATAGGCCAAGTCCATTAGGATGGGAAGACAAAATGGACACCCACTGTGTTAGGTGATCACTGAAGGAACCTTTATAAAGACATAATTAGCTCTTATTTCTGGATTTTCCCATTGTAACAGGCAAAACTAGATGGTGGAAGACAGCAATGGAGACCCGTGCTCATGGCTGTGACTGAGAAGGACTTGCTGCTCTATGATTGTATGCCGTGGACAAGAGATGCCTGGGCATCGCCATGTCATAGCTACCCTCTTGTCGCTACAAGGTGAGTGAAACTAAAGACAAAAAAGTAAAGTATCTGTCCTACTCTTAAATCTACTAAAGAGTTTTAAATTCTATAGGCCAGGTGTGGTGGCTCAAGCCTATAATTCTAGAATTCTGGGAGGCCAAAGTAGGGGAATCGCTTGAACTCAGGACTTCAAGACCAGCCTGAGCAAATCAAGACCGCATCTTTACTAAAAATGGAAAAATTAGCCAAGCATTGTGGCAGCTGCCTGTAGTCCAGCTACTCAGGAGGCTGAGACAAGAGGATGGCTTAAAGCCCAGGAGTTTGAGGTTGCTGTGAGGTATGACACTATGGCACTCAACTCCAAGGTGACTGAGTGAGGCTCTATCTCAAAAATAAAATAAAATGAATTCTATTATCTTAGGTGCTTAAAGTAGTATTTAAATAGCTGATATAGTTGATGTAGACAAAAACTTTAACAATTTTATTGATCATTTTGCAGCTCCTAGCTTAGAATAAATTGTTTCTGTCACTTGTTTTTTTGTGTGTGTGTGTGCACTTTTTAAGTTGTTAAAGCAACTTTCTAACTGCTCCTTTTTAGGGTTTGCTTAGTCATGAAGATAATAGGTTTTTTTTTTCTTATTTTATTGACTGTGACTAGAAAGCCACTGCAGCCTTTTGACTAAGTGATGAAATCATTTAAACCAGAATGTGGCACAGTAGATAAAACCACACAACTCAGCCAAAATATTCTTCAACTTCTCTTTCTAATGTAAAAGCATATAATTTTGATTATATGGAATAAACATTCATTTGACCTGAAGCTATGGGATGTTCCTAGCATGCTAGATGTTGGGGGGTTGAAAAGGAAAAGACTAGAGAAATTTAGATTTGGGGGCTAGGTTGTCTTGAAGGATAATATCTGTGAAATAGAAAATATATTAAAATTCATTTTTATTTGTACCTAAAAAAGAATCACGATTATATAACTAAAAAAATACACATTGAAAAGGAACCGCACAGTAAAAGTATTTGGTAGTCAAAAGAGCTAAACGATGGAACCATCTGGTGTGTCCCACAGGGACTGGAATAGGGTGGGAGTTTTCCTGCTTTGAGTAGACAAATTCTTAGAGTTAGGGGTTCACTCTGTCACACAGTCTGGACTACAGTGACTTGATTATAGCTGATTGTAATCTTGAACTCCTGGGCTAAAGTGATCTTGCTACCTTAGTTTCCTGAGTAGCTAGGGCT